CTGTTTGAAGACCTACTGGTCCAGCTTCTGCAGACCTCCCTCTCTGTGCAGGAAGAGCAGGGCCGCCCAGAAGCCCAGTTCACGGTCTCTGTTGCAAGTAATGCCAGCTAATGGTTATTAAGTGGGGCTACAGAAGCTCCTACTTCAGGTTCACTTAACTGGACCTTTCCAACAGTCAGTGACAGTCTGTGACTTTTCTGAGATTAAACCTATGTATAAACTTATTCACTTAGTGCATTTACTATCCAAATCTGACCTTGTCAACTGTAATACTGCACAATATATGATCTTGAAGCTTGAACCAAACTAAATGTATTACCATATATAATTGCAGCCTCTCCAGGCAGATAAGGAAAGTTCATAAATAAAGACGGCAATATCCAGGTTCAAATCTGAGTTGTTACAGGCTTCTTCCAACTAGACTTTTTCCATTTGTCAAGTTGAAGTAAAGTACAAAATATTATTATTTATGGCACTTCAGGTGGTACAGCAACATGATTTATAACAGTGAGATCACCTTCCCCTTCTGAAAAATTCATATACATTAAAAATTAATTCATTTACTTGAACTTAACTGTTACTTTCTAAAAGCATCACAGTTACAACTTTCATGTCAGATATTAATGTATGTAAATCACTGCCAAAGTGGCTTTCACAGAAAAAGCATGAAATAGTATGTTTTATTTTGCTTTGTTCCTTACATTAGTTTGCATATTCCAATGGACCCTTCCCAGAGCCTCACAGCTGGGTAAACTGGTTCTGAGAACTTGCAGTGGAAGGTGTGCAAATGGGCCATGCTCTCAGTAACATTGTAGAACAAAAGTCTTCATAATCCAAAAGAACGCCAATGCAATCGGGATCATCTTCTATCAGGATGGGGATTCTCTCCCCTTTGTGAAATGCCCAGTATTCAAATTCAAACTTCTTAAGGCACCAAGATGCTCTATTCCAGCCCACTCAACAGGTTTCAGAGTCTCCTTTCCTGCCAATGGGAGGGTAGGCTGTTCCGATCCACCATCCTGCTCCAGCACGAAGCAGGGCAACTTCCCAGTAATGGCTCCCAGAGAGGAATACATCTCTGCTTAGCACTTGCCATAATTTATGAAACCTCTGGGGACCACAGGGGTAAAATATCCTCCTCCAATTACAGCTTACTACAAGGCGGTCATCAGACAATTTCAGTCTTGGGTGAAGGCTGTCATATTC